TCTGGTCACTGGTTGGATTAGTAGCTGTTGGATTTTCTCTCTGAAATTTCAGCAGATAAAACCCGGGGGTTTAGCTACAGGGGAAAGCAAAATCCCCAGGTTTCTCTTCTTTTATACTCAACTAGAGTTTAAAAAATGAGCTGCCTTTGTCTGCAGCCGATAGCTTTGAGATTTCCAAAGAGCTCCTTTGCTGAAGGAGCAGCTGTGGAGCCTACAAATGAGAACAGCCACAAGACAAGCCACAAGCCTTCCTGCTTGAAGGCATTTCCAGCCCTGGCAGTCGCTGAGCTGGCTGGCCCCTGCCAGGCTGCACCACCCTCACACCTCTTCTGCCAGGGATGGGAATTCATCACCTGCCAGGAGCTGAAACCCTGGCACCCCCGTGTACAGGGCAAAGAGCGAGCAGGCTCCCGTTCCCCTGCCGATATGTTCTCCTTCCTCCACTCTGCTCCCAGCTGACAAGATAATGAGGAAGAAGAAGTACAAGGCTGAAAAAAAACACATCTCTGGTGAGAGCATTTCAAAAGGCAGCCAGCTTCCAGCAGGCAAGAACTATTTGCCACCACATCAATTACGTACGGAGATGAGAGAAGGTGGTTGACAATGAGGAATTAGATAATGAAAGCTCTGACATAACTCATACCTCCTCCTCCACCACATTTGAACCCCAGCCGGTGTGACTTCACCTCTACAGCAGGACCCTGGCACGGGGCCTGCCCAGCTCAGGAAATTCCTACAAGTCACTGTGTGTTTCTGCCACTGAGAACAGGAGTAGACATTTTATTTTGCCCCAGATTGTCTTCTCTAAAAACAAATCAAATACCCCCATAAAATCTCTGTGATTCCTCTTTCTCTAGATTTTTATAATGAAAAACAAGCGAACTTCTGTGATAAGTTTCCAGTTTTCCTCATTTTCACCGAGAGGAGAAACTGTAGTGAGGAATCTCTGAGGAAATACCCACAGTCAAACATTTCCCCAGGCCCAGCTGTTGTAGGATTGAAAACCTACATGCCTGTACAATGCCTGTCCCCCAGGGACGTAACCGAAATGACCTGTGCAGACCACCTCGAGCAGCCTCCACACACGGAGCTGTGACACGTTCGTGGCTTAGATCAGCTGTGAGATGAAGCCTTTCTTCGCAGGCTGTCACTGGCTTTAAAAAACTGATGGCCTCCATCTCGACACGGCCTGCCTGCAGCCAGCAGCCTGATCCCACCGTGAAGAATTAAACCTCACTCAGGTGTCACTTGAGCTGCTTGGACACACCAGCAGGCAGAGGAGATCCTCAGGAGACACGAGGTGGGCTTCCCTGGGGGATTTACCAGCGAAAGGAGAGAAATCTCACAGGCAAGGGGAAAGCTCACAACTTGCTCGGTCCCTGCTTGCCTGTTTCATGCAGTAGGCTCACACCACCCTACCGCATTAATGCCACTCGTCTCTTTCCGTGTTAGCAGTCATTAGTGCCGTGGTGCCGGGGAGCTAACTGCTGCCAAATCAAGGCCCCCGCTCACAGCAGCTGGTGCAAAGAGAACATCATTTTTGCTTCATTTTTAATGATCCAAATGCAAGCCTAAAGCTACCCGCGCTCAAATGCGTTAGCAGAGCTCACCAGTTCCCCTCTAATTAGTACATGTGCCGAGGCTCAAGAAGAGATAAACGAATAAAGCTCATGCCACAAACCAAAGGGCTCTGTGCCCTGCTTCCCGCAGCTGCTGCTGGACATCACCACGCTCAGCTCTGGATGCAAAGCAGCTCTGCAACTCCTCCACGCTCCTTTGCAGGATTTTCTGTCACGTAACGAGGGTGCTAGAAGCAACTCACTGCTTGCAAGGAGCTGTCGCACAAGCTGCATGACATATATACCTTTTCAACCTGCTTTTTTTTTTTTTTTTAAAGACATTGTAATCCTGAAGTGTTACTGCTTTGACTTTTGCCATTTTTTTTTTGTTTGTTTGTTTGTTTTTTCTTTAAAGCATTTGCCTGAAATTCAGACCCCGCTTAAGTTTCCAGAGTCAGTGAATGAAAGCTTGGTTCAAGCCGTAACTTGAATTTTCTGTGAAGCAATAAATTAAAAATAAATAAATAAATCACAACTCCTACTTCAGTTGGTCTCTCCAGACTGCCAAACTAATTTATGCACTTGCAACTTTCCTCAAAAGTGGAGCTTTCTTCCCTAAGTAAACACTATTCGCAAAAATCAGTATTTTTTCCCTGATTTGCAGCAAAGTAATTTTAAACCTCTGCTCTCACTGGGACAGAAGGCATCGACACAATGACAAATATGGAGCTTTTCACGCTACCTTTCTCCTTTCTGTCTCTTACGGGTACATGGACCTAGCCACCCACACAAAGTGTTGCTACCTTGGCACCAAAATGCTGATCACTAACAGGACAGTTCAGACCACTTTAGCTCTCCCTTCTCCATGCACCATTTGAAATCGAGTTGGCCTTGACGGTGATTTTTCTTGGCAAGGCCCGAAGAATTCTCTTTTCCTTGTTGCTTTTACCTGTGGCTGCCTAATGCCAAGCCAGGGCTCTCCCTGCAAGCACACTGAAGCTGAAACTCGTGCAATACCGGCTCAGTGAATTTAAGACATGGATGTCAAATTCATGCTGTAGCAAGAGCCCAGCAGCTTTTCACAACTAGCCATCGCAAACACCAGCAGCCCAGCCTTGCTCTTGGCTTCAGTGGGACGAGGGGCTTTTGGACACGAACCCAAACATATTGCAGCTCTGCAAGCACTCGCTTGCAGCTGTGGGGGAAGCACTCGTACAAATGCGATTTTTCCTTTTTTATCATGTCTTTTCCAGGTCTCTGCTTTGTACCAAGCGTGTGGCAAAGGGTCCAGGTAGGCTGCTGTGGTGCTGCCTTCACCCTGGTGTGGGACTCTCCTCTCCTCCACTGAGCACCCAAGACCCTGCCATAGATGGTCCCAGTGTGGTATCAGCATGCAATTAGCCTGGCCATGAGGTTATGATGATCAGGGCTGAGAATCAAAGCTGCCCTCACCAGCACAGCCTGGCACGGAGGCAATCGATGTCTGCTCTCACAGGTCTCCTCCCTGTGCTGCCAAAGCTCTCCAGCAGCTTCCCAGGATCTCCACTAAAAATGCACTGCTTCAGCAGCGTAACGAGCTCCCCAGGTTAAGTCTTTTACTGACTCCCTGCAAATCACTGAGAGGACAAACTGCTGTTTCAGTTCATTAGCAAGTGCTTTGTAGAAATCTGTTTGTATATTCGCAAGAGACCAAGGCACTCATTCATTCTAGGCCCAGGAAAACTGGCACTGAGGAGCCTCTCACCTTCCCTTTCAGCTCTGCAGGGTGGAGAATAGAGAGCAATTCTCCCCCAAGAAACACAGCAAATTCTCCCCTGGCACAGCAAGGGCCAGACAGGGCTCTCTGGAATCTATTCAGCATTTTTCTTAAAACCCCAACCCTGGGAGCTCTGGGATTCAACAAGAAATTTAATTTTCACCTAAAACACAATGAGTGAAGAACCCCCTGAGGGTTCAGCTCTTGGCACTGCAAAGGAAAACAGCACCAGAAACACTCAGACAAATAAAATAAACCTCATGGCATTGGCATCGCTTGCAGCTCTTGTGAGATTTAAGCAACCAAACCACCAGGGAAGCTGTCTGTGACAGCATTGCAAATGTGACCCACAGGTTCTGCACATGGACCTGGAAGAAACTGGGGATAAAGACCAGGCCAGAGAGAGGAATACCAGGAGACCAGGATGCAGGAAAACGAGCTCAAGGCTTTTGCTTGTGCTTTTCAAACTTACTGCCTTCAGGCACTTTATATTTGCTAATTAAAGCAGGCACCACCTCCTTTCACACCCAAGGCTGAGCTAAAGCCTTTCTTAAGGGTTTGTACGTAGTTGCTGAGGGAGAGGATTTTTAGAAAACTTCAGGTTGCCTCTGCAGTTCTCTGCTAGATGATACAGATCCATCCAAGCTTTCCGTCCTCATCTTTTTTTACTACATTAATACCCAGAAGCGCCTTTGGGATAAAAGCTACTCTGGACGCCCACAAAGCTTGCAGGCTCTGCTAGCCCAGAGCACAACAAAAAACGTCTGAACACAAGGCAGGAACTTTGCAGGGAATGCAAACTGCCTCCCTAGCATGGAGAGGGCAAGGTAAAGGATCAGAGGTCAGGGGCTATTTGTGCTCTGAAGGCGAAGGAGCAGGGAGGGGAAGGAGCTGTGTTAGTGGCTACAGCAAGCTCGTGGGAAAATAACCTCAGAGAACCTTGCAGAACTGTGGAGCAAAGGGAAATGTCAGCATGGAGCTCCCTGGAGATGCCAGGAGGCCCTGGATGGCAGGCACAGGGGCAGGAGCTTTGTCTCCTGCAGTTTGGTTTCTCCTGGGCATTGGGAGAAAAGGCCACAAAGGCTGTTTCTCTGCCTCAGGCCAAGTATACCTGTGATCTTCTCCAATTTCCATTACGTTTTTAGAATAGCCTTGTCTCCAATTCATCACGTTTCCATCGCTCAGTGGTTAGGTGTCAGAGGAGCAGAGCAATCCCCACATTTAGCCCCCCAAAGGGATCAGGTTCCCATTACCCGCTATGGCAAAGGGAGGACACCACGCAGAAATAAGGAGCTGGTATCCCAGTGGAATTTTCCAAGGTCTTCTAAGCAGGTATGCTTGCCAGGTGAAGTTTCAAATGCGTAGCCCCTCATCCACCACCACCACCTTCAGATCTGTTCATTAGCACCTTCGGGAGGGCTCTCCAAGACCGCCAGTTCTCAGGGGGCTGACACGCGGTGCTTTAATTGTATATAATTAAATACTGCTCCCTTATCTAGATTTCAAAGTTGGCTGTTGGGGCTTCAGCACCAACGCTCTCTTTCCTGCTAATTAGCTTCCTTAATCCGTGCAGCCTTGCTTCTTCCCCCACGGGGACGGGGCTCTCCTGCAGGGAAGCCTGGATTGCGACTAATTATTAGCAAAGGAGAGAGCCGGCAGGCGAGCACCGGCCCTGTCCCAGATAGTTGTTGTGAGCAAAGGGCCCAGATGGGGTGGCCACAGGGAAGCTCTGAAGGTTGCGTGTGTGTGGACGTGTTCGGTCTTTGCTCCATCTGTAGGTTGCTTTGCATGTTACCCCACCACCCGTTCCCAGCAGAAGACCACGCAGGACGGAAGCCACCTGCCTGAAGTGCAGCTCACACCATGGTTGCTTTTGCCTGGCTATCACAGAAAAACAGGATAGAGAGAGAGTTCCCAAGACCTCGTCTGACCCAATCCTGTCCTAAAAGAGACAACACGCTGAGCATCTCTAGTAAATCTTCAACCAGTGCTTCTACATTGACCTCTGCTGTTGACAGAGGTTACCCACTCCCCCAAGCCACGCCTGGGTGGACCCGTATGTACTCGGAGGAAATTCCTTCCTGTCTGATTTGAATCGCCTCCACTGCTGCCTCAAGACCCTGCAGACATGGATTGCCCTTTACATAGCTCAAGGCTTAGCTCTTCCCTAGGCTGCCGTCTAAATTAAACAGTCTGAGTTCTCGCAGCCTCTCTCTGTGGGTCACATTTCTCAGACCACCAGTCATTTTCTGCACTTTCCTCTGGACTCCCCCCAGCTTCTTCTGGAGTTGGTGAATATCTCCGGGATGACGTCGGCCTCATTCATTGCAAAAGCATGACATGGTGAGCTCAGATTTGGCTGCTGGGTCACGATGGCAGCCCCTGCCTCAGTCACTCCCCTCCCACTTAAATTTGTGCTCAGGGCAGTTCTTGCACAAGCGCTTGTCTTCACAGCATCCTGCTTCCTCTCGGCCCATCTCTCTAAATCCTCATGCTGGCTTTGATAATGCTTCCAACCTGTCCACGCCACCTGCACACTTCAACAACAAACATTTCCTTTCTGCTCCCAACAAGTTCCAGTTCAGGACGAGCACCTGCTGAACGCCTTTTCACTCCCATCCAGTGCCACGTTTCTCTTTTCAGGCAGGTTTGACCCCATCACCCTAGTGGCCCATTTAGCCAGCACTTCTTCCCAGCAGCACTAAGCTAGGAAACATGAAAAGCCCTTCTGAAGCTGAGTTACGTGACAACTGCTGCTTCTCCTGCACCCAAAAACCTGGCATAAAAGGAAATTAGGTTGGCTTGATAAGATTTGTTCTTGACAAATCTCTGCTGGCTGTTATTCATCTCCTCGTTATCTTCAAGGTACTTACAAATAATGTGTTGATTTATTCGAAGCTCCTCCAGGTACAGAAGCAGACATAATCTGGCTGAACTGCTGCTGAAGGCAGCTCTGGAGCTTGCCCGCAGATCTCACCTCTCACCCAGGAAAACTTTCAAGGGGACAGCAAGCAGCTCTCCCCTGGGCATCCCCCAACCAACACAAGGCTTAATGTCAGTATCCACACTCACTCTGGGGACAGGTGGGTTAAATTATCTCCATCTTCCACCTGTGGGCTTCCTGGAGGTTGTCTCCTGATGGCCTCCATGAGCACAGACCTGAAGCACATCCAAGGCAGAATTATGCTTCTCAGTGGGGTGTGATGTTCAGCTCCCTTCCCCTCCTCCCTCTGCACTAAGGTGTGGGCAGGACATCTTCTCCTCTAATTCTCGGCCGGCTCCTGCCCAACCTGACTCTAACCTGACACACCCACGCTGCTCCGTTACACTCTTCCCTGCTCAGCCGACCTATTTTCTGTGGTTTTTATTTTTTTTTTTTTTTTTTTGGTATGATTCTTTCCACGTTCCAGGTCACTGGAGAGCTCGTGAGTCAGGTAAATCTCCCGTTACACTTCCCTCCCTTTCCCCTGTGGTAGGATCATTTGTGCCTGGGCCATTAATACTGACTTTGTTTATATTATTCTTTCCCTGTGTAGGAGTGATAGCTTATCCCCCTAGGTCCCATCACACATCCAGTCACTAAGGAGGAACATAAATTTCAACAAGCAGGCCTGAAGTGTGAATGCAGATCTCCTGAACTAAGCGAATGCAAAGCCCTCTGCAGGCTCTGGTGCCAGGCGAGCCCTGCTCCCCACCTGCATGAGCCAAAGACATCTCATCTCAGATCTTCATCATTCCCAATGAAACCAGTGCATCTTGGAGCACAGCATCTGCAGTCTCCAGGCACGTTTCTTGCCCTTATCTCTCATGTGCTCAGGGGGCAGGTGCTGGGGAGAAAAGGCAGGCGTAAACTGAAGGGCTGAGAGCATCTGCACTGGGAGGACATCCTCTGGAAAGGGCTTTGCTCTGATCGCGGGGATTCCAGTCCATGCCCTGGTTCTTCATCAGGGCTCTGTTTCCCACTGCCAGGCGCATTTAATTGTCGCTCGGATTGTGTAGGAAGGCATCCAGACACTATGGAAATGGAGCCATATAGGGACTGGACGGCGGAGGCACATGCTGGTCACCCTCTCACTTGCACAGCAGTGGGAATACTTTTTCCCTTACACTGGGATATTTTTAAAGCGGAGAATGCCGTTATTATTTGTTGTCGCCCAGCATCCAGCATCGCCATTCTTGGAAGCCAGCACAGTGCCACCGATGTCAGTGTCAGAAGCGTTATTAGCAGATTTTTTGATATCTCCCCAGATGCCTTCAGGCTCAGTGGTGTTTGACGTGGAGAGGGCTGACCTTCAGCTGCAACCAGTGCCCGTGACAAAACAGAGAGCACATCCACCACTTCCAGCTGCAGAGAGACCTTCACCAACACCGTGGCAGTGAAAGACTAACCTTTAGTCAAAGCTCCTGCTTTTTGTTCTGTCAGTCTTGCTTTAAGCCCACAAAACTACTTCAGTGCCATCAGCTGAGGTCAGGCCTGGAGGCAAGGTATCAGGGGGAAGAAGGCCGATTCCCAAGCACAACTTGAACTCAGAGCTTGTGTTGGGGTCCTGCACACTTTTTTGGGTTGCATTTACCTTTCGTTGCTCGAGGACTCGCCATGTGTGCACAGGAGGGAGAGGGATGGGTCCCTGCTCTGTCTATAAAACCTGCGTGCCACAGCTGGTGCAGTGCCACTGCCAGCAGCACTCAGGCATGTACCAGAGAAGGAAAGGAGACTGCAGAGAGGGACGGGGCTTCTCCTGCCCCCTGCTCTCACCTCTCCAGCAAGGAGCTGAGGAGCTGTGCTGTTCTCCAGGATAACTCTTTCCCACGCCAACAGGTTTTGGTAGGATTGCTGCTTTAATTTCTTAAACCAAGCCTAGATCCTGCATTTTATAAATTACTACAATGCATTTAATAGGTAGCCTTTTCATAAAGGAGCACAGTGGATGTGTACGCAAGCCCTGATGAAGCTAATAACTGCCTCTCAATGGCTTTCAGAGAGTTATTACATATTTAAGATCCAAGCTCCCTTAATCAACCACAGAGATGCAGCTGGCAGCGGTAAATTGCCAACAACAGCTCATTACAAATAAGGAAACATTGTTTTTTCAAGGACAAAAACCCTATCAGTTCTACAGCTAACCACTCCTGTCCTCACCCCTCTTCCCCCATGTCCCCCCAAGTGACGTGCTGGCACAACTTGCTTCATCCAGTAACACAGCCTCGCTGCCTAATCCCCTCCACAGGGGACGCCATCAAATCAAGTTCCTAGATCTCATGCACACGCAGAATGACTTATTTGGGCAAGCAGCACAGACTGCATCCCGCGCTCACCCTCCCCAGGCAAGCCACAGGCAGGGCTTGTCCTACAAGGCTGCGATGTCTTGCCGCAGGAGCACACCCACTGGCTTTACTCTGGGGAGGACCAGATCAGCTCATAAGACACATAGACACACAGTTCTGAGAATGTACATTGCAGGCTTGAGACGTGGGAATGTTTTTTTATCAGCCCGTGCATATACACATGGTGTCCACATCACTCCATGCCTGCATGCACAGGACAATAGCGAGTGCAAGCTGGGTCCAAACGTGGCCATCCAGTGTGCAGGCTGGAGGCTCACCACTGCACGTGCAGTTTCCAAGCTCAGACCTTTAGTGGTTCTCCTGAGGCATCTGAGAAACTGAAATCCAGCACCCAGCCCTGTACATCACAGGGTTTCAGCTGCAGGCAGCATCTCCCTGTTCCTTGAGTCCCCAAGCAGCATTTCTTTGTCCGTCCTCTCTGCGACGTGCAGTAGAGGAGTTGCTACCCTCAGGGATTTTCCATCCTCAGACCAGACCAGGCTTCCTGATTGATGAAGCTGTAGGTAGTGGTGGGCACTCACATTTTCATCTTGTGGTAGTGAATTTCCTTTTTTTTTTCTTTTTTTCCATGCCAAACAACCTAGCCCCAAACTGCTTTGCTTTTCTGCTTGATGTTGGAAGGCTCAGACTGCCCTAAACACAACGGGAAGCCAAAATTCAGGTCAATCCCCCCGAAGAAAATATTTCAGGCCTGTTTGATTTCTTCCTCTTGCATTGAGGTATCAATCCATAAGGTGCAAAGCAGCGAACACCACAGCGTGGGGTCACCATTTGTGGTTATTCTCCAGTTATGCACCCAAGAATTAGCCTTTAAGCACTTGCAGGCGGCTGGGTGCAGGGAAAGGCCTTATTTCCCTGGATGCAACTGAGACAAGAGCACAGCAGTTTAAAAGAGACACCCATGGGTGGAAGACATTAAGACTAATTAAGAAAGTTTAGGAGTGCCCAGGAAAGACTAAACATTGTGTGAACAGAGAGGAGAAATAGAAGTGAGAGCGCACCCCATTACAGCTGCATCTTTCCCTCCTGGGACAACCAGCTCTTGGTGGAAGGGGAATGCTTGCTTGCTTTACCTTCAGCCTAGTTTACACCAGTCTCTCTGCCACATTGGGATGCTCCCCTCTCCTCCACCGAGTCCTAATACAAGGCTGGCTGTGCTGGAGGTTTCATTTTTCCTTTGAAGCTGCAAGCCATGGATGCAAAACCGAGCTAGAGAGGTCCCAGGGCTGAGTCAGGATTTTATTTTTTGCTATTTCTGTAGAAATACCTCACCCAACTTCTTCTGGAAAAGAAAAAGGGAACTTAAAAAAGCAGTACTGCTTGGTTCCCCCCGCCACAATCTATATTTATTGACATCGACATTTTTAAAGAGCTCTTGGGAGGGAGGCTGTGTGATCTCCGGGGACATTTTCCATAAAAAACATACGATTTAGCTGGTGTTTGTGTCACTGCTAGCATTTGACTCCTAGAACTATGCTTCCTGAGAAATGCCAAAGCTGGCTCGGACGAGTCATATGTGACGGGCCAACAATTTCACTCCCTAAGCCTGCAGCAGACACCTTGTATAAAAACAGCTAAACTATGTGTTTTATGTATTAATACGACAAGATGGATTAACGTAAGATTGACGATGCATTTACAAGTGTAACCTTATAGGTGAAGTAACAATACAATTTGTTAGCTGTATGATTTTACATAACACCTTCCTCACTGACTTTTTAATGCAGTGAAAACTTTTCTGCTCGTGGTGTGTGGGGGCAGACATCCAGAGCGCAGGTTGTAATAGCTTGCTAGCTGCGATGTCAGCTCGAGGGAAGCTGCTATTTCTTGACCACGAAAGAACACACAGTTTTCATACCTCTTTGCAGTCATCTCTGTAAGAGATGCACCTCCTGATGTTTCAAGACAGCAAGGAGAAGAGATACCATCAGCTGGGGTAAAGATTGCTTCCTCCTCCGAGACAGGAGGATGGACTCCTTTTGAGCTATTTGGCGTTCGATCAGGAGACAAAAACACACTGGCCAGACAAACCACTGACCTCTTTTATGATTACAGCACCTGGGGCAGATGGGTGGGCAGGAAGCACCTGTAACATCTTAGTAGTTCATCCTCTCATCAAGAAATCTGTAATCATTAACAGAGATGCAAGGCAAAGCCAGAATCACCTTGCTAAGGATAGTCCCAGAGGAGAGGGTCTCTCTTAAACTTACATTGTAGCACCTATGGATGTCTTGGAGCCCCAGGTGCCTATGCAGCATCACCAATATGCTGGCCTTGCTGGGACACAATTTGGATATCTATAGCTTTCCCACATAGCTGTCAGGATAGAGTATTCCACAGGGGGACCAACATCTTCTCCACTGTACATCTCTGTTTGGACATCTCTACAGCACTTAAATCGCTATTTTGTGTATTCAGGGAAAGGAGACATCAACAGATTGATTGCAAAATGGGAAACTCTCTCTGGACTCTGTGAACAAATAGCATGTTATGTAATTGGGCCTTTTAGGAAGTGGAAGAAGGACTCCAGAAGATCAGCGTCCTCCCAGCAGTTCCTAATTTTACTGGGTCTTACCAGCAAACAAGCCCTCTAATAATAGAGACTTGCACAGTTTTCTTTCATCTTTCTGTCCTCCTGCACTTGCCCTACCTTCATTGTTAGAGTCCCAGAGAAACATATCTTGCTCAATTTTATAGAGCTGATCAATACAGCCTAGAATGGCAGAGCTGAAGAGGCACTGAAGACCTTTAGAAAGGGCAGCGAGGCAATCTCTTGGCCACCACAGCACGGGAAATATTGAAGTTTTAGAACTTTATTGAGTCAAATATGCTGCAGAATTGCACAATTCTACATAGCTAAGATTTAGCTGAAGCACAACACTAACAATGACGTGGCAAACAGGCTTTAACTCTATAGTCCACATATTGTGCTAGCGTATCTTTATTCCTATCAGGAACAGGAGGCAGTTGCAGGGAGGCAAGTGAGGATGCCCCTAAGCAGCACCTCAGCTTCAGGACCACGCTGCCTTTGTGCTGCAGGGCTGTCCTGAACTTGCACCCATGGCAGATGTGGACTTGTGGGAACTCTTATGCAAGTCAGCCCACACCATCCGACACCTGAACAGGGTCTGTAGCAGCTACCCGTTAAATGGGTGCCTACTACCTGCCGGACACGTGGGCAGATGGCAAATTGTAAAATCACTGCCATCCTTCTCCCAAAGTACTAAGGCACGTGTGTGTCTTCTCCCACCTGAATCGAACAAGCCCCTCAGTAAACACACGGTCCTGCAGCTGCCACCTCCTCTCACTCCATCCACTGAGCTCTCTTCTGCTCCAGGCTGCCAAGTCCTAAAGTGCACGCTGGTGCTTCCCATGTACTGTCCCTCCCTCCCAGCAGTACCAGGGGGAGATGGTTTAAAGACAGTAGAGATATGATGGCAATGCCCTGGCATCTGCACGCAAAAAAGCCATGCTCAGTTTTCTAAGAAAGCTGTTTTCCCCATATCTCGCTTGGCGTGCACATGCAGATAGCCGGCTAGAAAAGGAAGGGAGAGGCTTGCAGCGGGGAGAGCACACCAGCACTCCCCGAGAGGCCAAGGCACAGCCCTGACAGGATGTGGCCAGCCCAATTCCAGCACACCCCCTGCTTACTACGCTGCTGACAAACATTGACAGCAAAGAGTTCAGTGGAGGAAAGTCCACCAGCAGCAGCACGGCGGGACCCGGCGCCGTGCCGGCAGAGGGAAAGCAGCGCCGAACGCACAGCCCAGCCCCACATCAGATATCTCAGATATCTCAGCAAGAGTGCTGGCTGCAGGACAAGGGGGAAGCCCGAGCCCCACTGAGTACTGCCTCAAAGCCACGTAATCACGTCACATCTCGGGGGAACTGAAATCAAACATCAAGGTCTTCCTGACAGCAGCCCAGTTTTGCTAGCAGCGAGTGACCTGGTTAAAAAGTAAAGAGCCTTCGGGGGATGTCCTTATAGCCTAGTTCATTGCAACTCTACAGACACCTTCCTGCTTCCCTCACAAGGAAAAAAAAATTCAAATCAAATCAAATAACTGAGTTCCTGTCTACTACAGTTATCGTTCAGGAGTGCAGACCAGGAATAATAGCACATTGTGTGCTCTTGACCCTAGCAAGAGCAACATGCACGTTCTGGTCTCCAAAATGCCGGAGCTGTGAAGTTGTTGCTCAATTATTTCCGAGAATCTGAAGCATCGAGTGGTCTAATACCCTGCCTAAGAATTACATCTTGCTGCTTCCAGGAGTTTTGTGTTTCTCCCTGTTCACGTGGAGCAGGTACAAATAACGGAAAGAACATCAGGCCCACTCTCCACCCCCATCTTTGGTTTGCTCTGGCTCCTGAGAGACCAGCTGTAAAAGATGCAACAGCCAAGCCACCTTTTAGGTCTCTTGACACAGACTGACCTTTATCAGGGACTGCTCCAAGTCCTACTCAGCGTTTTTTTGCTACCAAGTCTACAGTTGGCAGGGCCTGGTCTGTAGGCACAGACCTCACTGCAGGAAGAGCCTGAGGCTGAAGCAACACAAGCCCCAGCTTTTGCTCTTGCAGAGCCACAACTGAGCAAGAAAATATCTTTAAAACATAGCCAAGGATAGATGTTTTTAACTGTGATTTACTGGGCTGATTGACATTCTCCACATAATGTGATAAACAAAGCTACAGCACAGTTTTTCCACCTGCTGCCTAGCAATACTCAGGACTAGCCTCCAACAGCTTTCATCCCCCCTTTTTTTAAATTATGATTATTTTTTATTTACAAGCAGACAGACATGGCTCCACTTGCATTCTAACCATGAAGTTTCTTTGCATGACAATAGTTTATCAGCGCATGCATTAGAAAGTCACCCAGGCCCTTAGAAAAGGAGAAGGAAGAGGCGGCTTTCTCCAAAGCCAACTGAAAGCGAGTATCAGTGGAACAGACTGCGTTCCAGTCCCAAGTGAGCTCAGTCAAGGGGAAGTGGTTACCACAATTCACACACTTGATTTAGACAGGTGACTGCCTGGGGATGGAGGTAACAGCCAGCTCAGTGGTGTTTCCTCCTATGATGTAGATTCAAGGCTACAGAGATCTGCTCAGGTCCTGGGTAGAAGGTGGGAGGCTGGCCTCACAAACCAGTTCCATCTCCCAGCTGCTGGAAGGGTGGAGTGCCCCCGAGCAGCTGCCACTCTCTGATCCGCTAACAAGGCAGGAACACAGCATTTCAGGCTCCCTAAAGCACACAAGACCATTCACAGCTTGCTGCTACTCACTGGCACCCACACACCTCCAGTGCAGCTCTGGTAGCCACGTGCATTTAATTTCAGGAGAATGACAGACTGGAAGTAACAAATGAAAGCTTCACTTACACTATCTCATCGTTCTGGAATTCCAGCTCCCCGCAGGTGTCTTCAAAATCCTCTCCTCCACCTTTGGCTGAGCCTTCAATGGTTTTATAGGGCACAATAACATTTCCTCGCGCGCCGGAGGTTCGCAACACTTTCACTTCCATGGTCCCCACGCTCTCGCTGACATGTGTTACTGGTTCCTCAAAGGTGAAGATGCCAGCATGGTCATCGTCAAAGATGGTGACAGTGGCAGTAGACGGTGAGCCCAGGCAGGCAAGCGTTGAGACACGAGTGGCCTCAAGAATGCCCTCGTCTGAGGCCTCAGTGCTCACGCGGACATTGCTGAGATGGACCAGGAAATTCTCATCCTCCTCAAATATGTCATCATCGATTATGCCAACACGGATCTCCTTCTGGGTCTCTCCAGGCTTGAAGACCACAGTCCCTTCAGTGAATTCATAGTCAGAGCCAGCATTGGCCGTCCCATCCTCTGTCCTGAAGTCAACGTACACCGTGTTGGTCAAGTCGCCGCCCCGGCGAATGATGGTCAGGGCGACGGTGCCACAGTTCTCCAGACACTGGTAGGTGCCCTGCTCAAAGTAGAGCTTGCTGATGGGATCGTTTTCTGCCACCTCACTGTTGACCTCATGCATGCTGACGGCTTTGCGGGCCTGGTCTGCAGCATGTCTCTTCAAGATGTTGCCAGCTCCGGTCATGAGCCGAGTGGCCTGGATGCGGTAAAAGGCCCTGCTCTTCTGCTGCTGACTTAGGACCTGGTAGTTGGCCAACTCTATAAGCTGCTCAATTTCCTTGTCAGGGGTGTTTTTGTTTCAGCTCTTTCAGGATCCGAGCCATTTCTCTCCTGGCTTCCTCATCATCCTGGTCCTTTTCATCCACCTCCAACACCAGTGTCCCATCCAAAAAGTTCTCCACATGAGAATTAGCAACCTTTCCGTCCATCTCAATATCAGCTTTGGAGGAAGGCCGGTCACCCTCATGCTCAATAATCATGCCTCTCTGCTTGCCAGCTCGATATTTCTTGTAGACATACTTGTAAAATAAAAGTCTCCTGTCAGCTATCCAGGCAAACACCACACAGATAGGGAAGAAGAAGAAGGTGAGCAAGCCTTCCCAAACCTCCACAACACCAGGAGAAGACACAGATAAAATAATGTAAAGCCAAGTGTAGGCAAAGATGCTCCAGGCCGCTGTAACAAAAAACACTCGCAAGTGCTTGATCTTCCTTATCTCTCCATCCGGAACAACATAAACACAGATCGCAATGATGACAAACATGTTAAATGCAGCACTTCCAACAATTGTGCTTGGCCCCAAGTCCCCTGCTGTGAAGCCGTGACCACACACTTCGATAACAGACAGAAGGATCTCGGGAGCGGATGAGCCCAAGGCCATCAACGTGAGGTTGGAAACGGTCTCATTCCAGATCCTCACTGTGGTTTTGCTGGTCTCGCCGTTGGGCTTCTTGATGGTTATTTCCCGCTCTTGGGATGTAATGACTTCGATGGAGGACATGAAGCGGTCGGCTATGATGGATACTCCCAGGAACATGTACACCATCGCTACAAAATACACTGTTGCCCGAGCTATTTTGTCACCGAATGAGGGGTCTTGGGGTTCCCATATTGGTAAAATCACACCCTTTTTGCAGATGTACGAGCCCGTGCACTCCTCAGACTTGTTCGCAGGCACTTCACTGGGGCTTTCTGCATATATGCCATCTGCATGGACGAGCAGCACCACCACAACACTCAGGAGTTGGAAGTTCACCAGAAAGGTGGGTGGGTGAGTTGCTTGCGACATGGCCGCTTCCACCGAACAGGTCCCAAACGTCCTCAACCTGCAGGAGACAAAAGGAAAGATGCACTGAGGCTGGCCAGAGACAACAGATCTTCTTTTCCACCCAATTTATTTCTCACCTTTCCCAAATGTATAATCAAATTACCCCGTTCCTCAAGAAGACCCATCTAATGAGCCCTAACCGTGTTATGACCACTGCAGCTTTCCACGTACAAATCTTTAGTTCAGCTATCCGAGCAAGGACTGAGTCAGATGATACCAGCGGGCTAGCACCTACCCCTTTCAGCTACACGGATGTTTAATGCCATTTTCTCTCTCTTTGCTGAAAGCTTATTTCTTCAGTTGTATTTTCCTGTTTCTCATCTAATTAAAACTCGTTATTTTGCTTCATGGCTGGCAGAAGTGTTTCATGTTTCAAAATGATGGAGCATTCCTGCACTGGAATTCAGGGAAGAGCAGGAGGGGACAGGGAAATCTACTATAGTCCAATCATTTTTTGGAATATTTTTATTCACTGTAAAGGACATATTTTATAGCCTTTTCTTGCACACAGTCCTTCCCAAGCATCTACTCCATATCTGCGCGAAGCAAGCTCAAGCCTTGGCAAAACCTTGCTCTTAACGGCACCTCGGTCATACGGCGCACCAGAAGGGCAGTCTTTAATTAATGATTTTGGAGCCATTTCTTCCACAGCGCATCACTTTGCACCTTCCCAAAACTGGAAAGAGCCCCATATGCATCCAAGCATGGCTCTCTTGGCATGCTTCGAGAGGAAGCCTGTCCCTACGCTCTTTTCCCACTAGGTCAGCTTTGCCGGCTTCCCCTGCAAGGGCCTTTCTCACTCCATTTACAACATCAGTCATCAGGCATGACAGCAGTACTTGCCCTTGTCCTGCCTCAGGATTTTCCAGCAGTGTCGGGGAGCTGTTAAAGAGGTTTGCAGTTAGTTAACAGTGCATAAACCTACAGAGCAGATGCCTTAAATTACATAGAGATGCTTAGTGCAAAAACCTGAGCATGCTCAGTGTTAAATTCTCAATTTTACTAGGCAATAAAAGCCAGATTCCTAGTTATTAAAGCTATATTTTCTCCTCAAGGAGAGCCTTTGCCATACTACATTTCTCCATTCCAAGTTAATTTAATCACACAGTACTTAAAAACGCTTCTATGAAGAGAGGAAAATGAGCATGTTGATACCTTTACCTTGCTGAAGCCTACAGAAGGCTGAAGAGGTTTTGCTCGTAAAAAGAAAACAACAGCCCAGAAACAAAACCAAGAGCCTAGTCGTGAAAGATTTCAGCTTTTAAGGGAGGGGTAATATTCTCAGGTCCATACCAGAGATGCGGACATGAGCAGGAGGTACAGACAACACCTCTATAATACCTGGCAGGTCTCACCCCACCATTTGCCACCTGCCTGTTCCCCAGTAAACATAGACTCACAGAATCATCTGGGTTGGAAACGACCTTCAGGATCATCAAGTCCAGCCACCAACCTGACCTATGGAGTCCCATCACTAAACCCTGTCCCTCAGTGCCAGATGCTTAGCCGCACGCGCTTGGAGCTGCAGACCAGCCCATCTGTGCTAAAGGCTGCATCCAGTGACAGCATCCCAGCTGTCACCTGTGCTTAGATGTGACCCCAGCGGGGTGGCAAAGCTCACCTTCCCTCTTCCTTCTCAGAGAGGGCTTGTTTCTCAGCACAGCCAGCACTGCTGACTGCAAGCGTACAGCCAGGCGTTCCCAGGGAGAAGCATTTACCCTCCAACAGGGACACACCAACGCCTCCTCGAAAAGGAGCGCCTGATCACCACCACCCCTCTCCTTATGATGCAGAAATCACCCCTCCTCATCAGGGCAGGGGCTCGTTATGCAGGGACAGGCTGTGTGCGAAGGAAGAAGTGTCTGGAGGAGTGAGTACCATCTCGCACCCACGTTACGGGATCTACTCCTCACAGAGATGTTGTAACGACGGATGAACGCCCTCCGCTCGATTTGCTTTTATTGAAGCATGCTGTAGTGGGATTATTGGGAGGGAAGAATAATACTGAAAATATATTAAGGCAGTTATATGTAAATGGCATCTCCTCACCAGGAATTGTTGTTCTCTGCCGCAGCCCCCTCCCAATTTTCTAATTAAGTAAGGCAAAAGATACACCGAGCAGGAAGTGAGCAATTCAGAGAGCTGGGTGATAAGAACAGATAAGAGGAACAAGAAAAAGCGTGTCTCCTGTATGAAGCTCGATTTAAAATACAGGAATTGTTTGCATTGGAAATCCTGCTAACGTTACGAGAAGCTCTTGCTGCTGGAGTCAGAAACCCCAAACATTTCTCCCCAAGTCACAGTCCCCAGACACCTTCTGCTTCCCAATAATGCAGGCTCTAGTCGTCGCTTACAGATCTTAAGTAAAAAATAAATGCAAACATGATGTTTACAAAGAAGAGTACCTTGTTGTATGCCATTTTGCAGATAGCTAAGTTGAAACAGATGTGCGTTCATGGTCATTGAAGTTTAGCCGAAACATTAATTAGTCACCCAACATCTGTAATCCTGACCGTGTTTCACCCTGCTTCAAACCGACTCTTGGAGATGCTTGATAAAGGGGCTGTCAAAACACAAGCTGGCTTGGTATCTACTCTATTTATCCCAGATAACTCCTAAGCATTTAATTAATTAATTAATTTCAAAAATATGTAGGCTTAAGGAAACTTTGGTGTGGGCATGAAATATTACTCAGCTCTGTGGTTCTTTACCCTCTCTTTCTAAAGGGTAGTAGTTTCAATCAATAGAAAACTCAAAGCATCCACCTGCCCTTGTTCAGTTAATTTTCTCCCTGTGGCAAGTCATATCCTTGCACATGTACAATTATTCAGAGCAACCAGGCATTGTGAAATCCCCTTGGCAAGAGGAGAAAACAGATGGTTCTAGAGAAAATATTATGCTTTGGGTCACTGATTTAGGTCATAAAGAATAGAAGAGTCCCATCATACTTTGGACCAACTCTGCAGTCTTAAAAGGATTTGAGCACTGGAAGTCTCAGCCAGAAAAAAAAAACTACTCACTAAATCAGATTAATAAGTCACTTGAACTTTATTTGCCATGTTCTTCCCTTTCAAACATTCTAACACAAATATATATTTTTTTAATCAAGTCCCATATTTCGTTAAACAGGAGGAACAAAGCCTAGAGGCTTGCATCTGAGCAATCCATCTTTCTGGCCTTTCCATGCAGCTCTCCATGTACAAACAACATTTTTCCCTGAGACAGCAGGAGACAGGAGACGTGGAGCTTTTCTTTAGAGCCCAGATGGGTGGAGAAGGGCTGGAGCTTAATAAGGAGAAACACACCAGCCTTGGCAACGTGCAGGCAACCTTCTTTGAGTGGCCATAGCATCCAGCAACCCTATGTTGGACTTCCTCCAACATTCTGCAGTGCGGTTATCAAAAAGGATTCGGGTACCCCCCACCCTTCCTACTGGAACCAATTCATAATCAGCGTTATTAGCAGCAGGCTCAGGAATTATGGAGGGTTAGAAAATGCTTGGTCACAACATGCTGGCTACACATACACAACCAGAGCCTGACAATCCAAATCTCTCTGAGAAGCAGCTGCTGTAAAATTAGCAGCGTTTCTTTATTTGCACAGTCCAAAATAAACAACGCGGTCCCTGGAGACCCTCTTGCTTGGCATTTGCATGGGGTCTCGGCCCATGGTCAGCAGGCTGCTGCAAACCCAGCAGTAGGAATATTCCCAGACAAATCATTCATATTATTCTCTAACGAGAAGCAAGGCTACCAGAATGCCAGCCTTCCCTTCAAAGCCAACTTTGTTAGCTTTTCATTAAGGTGTCTCAATTGCATTTCCCAGCCAGGCCATCAACAAGAAAAGCAAACACACGAGCTGGCTGTACACGTGTGGTGACGAACCACAAGCTACCACCCTGGATCAGCACAGCCCTGCCCGTAAGCATCAACCCTACACCACAGGGCAGACCCAAAGCTCATTTTTTCCCCCGGATCCGGCTGCCTGGAGGCTTTCAGGTAGAGCTGGAGCTAGCCAGCAGAGCCAGCCCACAGCTCGCTCCCCAGAAGCTCCCCGAAGTGCCAGCAGCTGCTTTTGCAGTCACAGGAGAAAGCCTGCAAGGGGCTGCACGGTCCCTTTGAGGTAAGCTCGGTTTAGATCCAGACCCCATCCAAGGGACATTTGGCCAGCCTTCCTTCCAGCCTTCAGTGCTGTAAAACCCCAGTTTTTGCCCGCAGCAAGGCTAAGAGGGTTGCAGAGATGTTTGCCTTCTGTCTGGAGAAGGGAGCTCGAGGCTTTCCCCTAGTCCTGGGCTTTACAAGCTGGTAGGAGAGAGCTCCTGCTGCCAGCTCGTGCTCTGGCCCCCCAGCTCCGGAGCTGCCAGATGGGGAGAGAGCAGCCTTTTAGCCTCTGCTCTGCCACGAGCTCCTCCAGGCTGAAGGAAGGCTCCTCCAGGCTGGCTGCGTGCTGCGAGCGAAGCCAGCCTGAGAGCTGCTCCGCGCTTCAGCAGCACAGAGCTTTTCCTTTGCAGCAGCCTCCCAAAAGTCCCACTCCCATCTGGGCATGGCACCCGGGCCGTATCCACTTTTAGACCCTTCCCGCTGCTCTCCTGCACTTTTGCGCGATGAAGTTCGCAGCCGTCTGCAACAGGCTGGTAGCAGCATCGCTGTTCAGAGCGCTGAAAAAAAAAATAGCTCTAGCCTGGCTGCCTTCGTTACAGGGCTTGGGCAGGAAAGGTTGGGCTCGCGAGGAAGGAGTGGCCACGCAAAAAGAGAGACTTTCCGTGGGGAATTCTCTCTCCATCACTTGACAGCGAGCACTCTGCAACGCGCAGCAGCTGTAACACAGCAGCCTTCACACCGTCACAGCCACCCGGCTGTGCCTACCCCACTGCGACATCAGCTCCACCATAAGCATCGTTACGGTGAATTTACTGCCAGCCTGTATGGGAAAGTGTCCCCGCGGCTGTGTCACCGGTGTGCGGGAGGTGGGAGCAGCATCCTCTGAGACCTGAGGTCT